TTCTCCACCGACCTCATATTGATACACAGACTGCAGTTTCTGGTGTAATCCTTTGTTTCTCTTCTGCAGCAATCAGCAGCTTTGTTTTTTCTCACTTGACAGTGTATCTGGAAATCATTTCACAGAGATGTTTCATAGAAATCTTCATCATTGCTGTTTACACCTGCATAGTACTCCATGGTGTGGATGTACCAAACTTCAATACACTAGGCATTCAGATTGCAACATTTTTGAATTACCAATAGATAACGTTATGCGTATGTATTCTTGTTCTGTTAGGGGCTTATCTTCAGGGTAGGTTCCTAGAGGTAAGATTGCTGAGTGACTTCGTGTGTAGTTTTGTGAGGTGTTGCCAGATCTGTCTACAGAGTTGTACCAGTTTCCTTTAGCAACATACAAGAATGCCTGTGTCCCCAAGACCTTACCAACTGAATGTGTTCTGGTATTTTGTATTTTTACCAGGCTGGTACATGAGATACATGAGAAGTTTTATCTCAGTGCTGACTTTCCTTTATTACAAATTATTTTGAACATTTTTATTTTGGGGGAGGGATCTACTTATTCCCATTAGGTCTTTATTCCTCAACTTTTAAGAATTGCTTTTTCATCAGGGATATTATCCCCTTGTTATAGAGATTATGAATATTTTCTGCAGTCTTTTGACTTTTTTTGGGTGCATAGTATTTCTGTCTTGCAAAATTTTATGTAGTCATATTTTTCAGTATTACTGCTCATGGATTTTGAGTTACATTTAGAAATTTTCTTCCTACATCGAGGCTGCAGAAAAACTCACCCATGTTCTCTTTAGTTTTGTTTTTGGTTTGGTTGATTGGCCTGTTTGTTTCTGAGACAGATACTGTGTAACCCAGGTTGGCCAGAATTTACCATCCTCCTGTTTCAGCCTCCTGAATGCTAGGATTACAGGCCTGTGCCTCCAGACTCTTAGATCTGTTTCAGAATTCAATCTTACATATCAATCTAATTTTGTTTGTTTTACAAATGACTTGTTGTCCCCATTTACTAAATACCATTTATTTAAAAGCCTATCTTTACCCCATCAATGTAGGTACTACCTGTATCATGACTAAGTTAAATACACATTTCGGTCTAATGCTGAAATTTGTTTTTATTCCACTCTGACTACAAATTTTAGATGGCTGTCAACACTGCCCAGAAACCCAGCTACCATTCCCTATTGTGTTGGAGTCCTCTCTCTAGGATCTTGCTATTGTAACTCCTTCATATTCAAAACTCCATGACTGTTTCCTCCTCACAACTAGCCACTTCCTCACCCATTGAGGAAACAGTTTCAGTTAAAGGAGATTTGTCCAATCTCATAAGGAAGCCCAGCAGTCTGCATCTGCGCACACAAGCTGTGCCTTCCATTCCGGGCTGTGGATGGACTGTCTGCACCTTACTAAGGCCAGGCCTTCCGTGTTGTGTGCTGAATCCCGGCATCTCCTCCTCAAGGTCATCTTCCCTTCAGCTGTCCCTTTCTGACAGCATCACTTTCTCCCGTCTTTTTCCCATCAGCATAAAACTTGTTATCCAGCAGAGCAAACTTTCCAACGAGTACCCACTGTTACCTACCTACAACACCAGGGCTCAGATAAGGATCACTGGTCCCTTCCAGGGTGTTGTCCATACTTGGTTATTTTCCATAAATGATATAACCTGAAAAAGACAGGAAATCACAGGGCTGTCAAGAATGAGAAGTGTGGCAAACGTGGTGGAGAAGAGGGGACCAGATGTATTGAAGATGCAGCGAGGAAGTGTAGCAGGTACTGTGTTCTCCCAGCAGGTGCACCATAGGAGCGGGAGGGATCAAGAAGGAGGGAGGAGCACCAAGGACCACTCCCGGACCACGGGTGCGTGGGCTGACCTTGCCAGCTGCTCATCTGGGTACTCTGCAAATTGAATTGTGGGCAAGGGCTGCAGGAACAGTGTGGGGCCAGGTTCTGGAGATGGGGCATTTGATGGGCAGCGGGAAGATCCTGGAGTCCAGGCAGTGGCTGATGAGCCCTGAATTTAAGAACAGTGACCTCAGCTTCAGAGAAGTTTGGCTGGGGAGGGAAGATCCTATGAAGTGCTTGTCTTAGTTTGCACCCCTGGATTTATTTTATTTTATTTTATTATTTTTTTTTGGTGGTACTGTACTAGGGATTGAGGGCCTTCACGACGAGTACATCCCTAACCCTTTTTTGTTTTGTTTTTTCTAGCTTATAATTTCTTTGAAGCAAAACTTTTAATGGTACATTTTAAACATAATGATAACATTGATCATAAGGAATTTGTACCTGTACCATGATATATCTTGCTTTTTTCCATCCCCCCTTTGGCCCCTCTTCCCTCTTTATTTACAAAAGCTTTGTTTCCATTTTTTCTTTTTCTTTTTCTTGTCCCTTCTTCCCCTCTCCCTTGTTCCCCTTCTCATTTGAACATTTTTTCCCATTTCCCAATATCTATTATACATTTTGGTCCTTACTTCCACTTTCAGTTTCTTACACCAGATAAACACTGGTATTTAAATATGTGTGTCCAGTTTATCTCACTTAAGAGTATGGTCTCAAGATACATATATTTAGCTAGAATTGTATCGTCCTTTTACGTGGCATAGCAGTACTCCATTGTGTAAAAGAACCCACATCTTCTTTATCTGTTCTTCATTTGTTGAGGATCTGCGCTGTTTCCAAGATTTAGCCATTACAGACTGCCACTGTAAATACAGGTGTGCACATATCACTGGTATGATGCTTTCAATTCTTTTAGGAAGATACCAAGAAGGGGAATATCTGGGTCCAGTGGAACCTCCAGTTTTAATTTTTTGCAAAATCACACTGAATTGCACTGGTTGCACCAGTCTACACCCACTTTTCGATTGGGTCTTTAAATTTGGGAGGTCTGATTCTTTTGACTTCTTTATATATTCTAGATATTAGTCCTTTGGGGAAAGATGGCAAAAAAATTTTCCCACACTGTTGATGATTTCTATTGGTGATTTCTTTTGCTATACAAAAGCTTTTTAATAAGATGAGATCTCAGTTGTTGATTCTTTGTGATATTTCCTGTTTTGTTTTGTTTTTGAGACAGGATCTAAATTGCTAGATTGTCAGGGCTGGGCTCGAACTTGTGATCCTCCTGCTGCAGCCTCCCAGAGTGCTGGGATCACAGGTGTGCACCACCACACTCAGTGCCCATGGACTTTTATACAGGTGACTGGCTAAAGATAGGGAGATCCACACCCGTGAAAGGAGCTTCGCTTATCATGCTTCCTCCCTTGACTCCATGATTCTGTTTGGGGCTCATGAAGTTGCTTGGATCTGTGAGTTTAATCCATCAAATTTAGAAAAACTGTGGACATTGCTTAATTTTTCCCATTTATTCCTGTCCATTTGCACATGTATTGGACTGTGTGATGTTCCAAATTGCATAGTTTTACTCATTTTTTATTTAGTCTTCTATTTTGGCCAATTTCTATTGCTGTTTTTGCTTTGTGATGCCTAGTCTATCGTTAGTCCCATTAAGTGCATCTTTCATTATAGGTACGTTTAACCGCTAGAACTTCTGCTTGGATCTTTATGCCTTCTGTTTCTTGTTCATATAGCCTCAGACATAGGGAGTTGATTTGCAAAGGCTGTTTTAACATCAGTGCCTGCTAATTCTACCATTTGTGTCTTGCGGGGTCTGTTTTGTGACACACACCCTCCCCCATGATGGGTTGTGGTTTGGTTTGTTTTACACGCCTGGACATCTTTGGATTCTAGACAGTGAATTTTGTGCTAGATTTTGGTGTCTCCCTTTCAATATATTTGTGCTTTACTCTGGGGCATAGTTACTTGGATTCACACTGATTCTTTTTAAGCTCATAAAATCCCACAGGTGCAAATTGAGACAATCAACTCTGAAGATCGCCCCTCCTCCAACTACACCCCCAGAACTGAGGTTACTGTTCAATTCAGTGAGCATAAACTACTTACTGCTCAGATTTTCAGTTGCTTCTCATCCATCAATCCCAGATCACTCAGATGTGATTGGACAGTTCTTGGCATTCAGGCAATAGGTTTGGGTTTTCTTAGGGTGACACTGTAGTGTCACTGTCCCAGGTGGGCCCGGAGAAATTGTCTTAATTCCTTCTCCGCTGCCCTCTCCTGAAGAAGCCACGCCTTGCAGCTCGGTGCAGCCAGCAAGGCCTGAGTGGCCCCCACAATCCAGTCTGGCTGGGCAGAGGAGTCAGGCAGGTGGCAGGAAATGAGGCGGAGCACAGCTTTCCAAGCCTGTCCGCCTCAGCCAGACCTTTGGCAGCTCCACCTACCAGCTGCAGGATCGTACATTTTCATCTGGGAAGTGGGAGAGTAAGTGACCCCACCCGGGCGTGTGAGGCCTGAGCGAGTCCCTGGTTAAGCTCTCGGAGCACTGTGGGTTCTAGTATTGTTTTCACCCCAGGGCTGCAGCCCAGTCTTTCCCAAAGAGAGACCTTCCTGACTCTCTGGGCCTTTCTTACTGCTGAGCTCTGCCACCCGCCTGTCACCCCTAAGTGGCTCTTCCCTCAATGCCTGACCTTTATCACCCTCCTCCCCTCCCTGCTGCAGAACTGGAGACCTGATGCAAAGACACCTACAGCCTTGTCTCCCAGAACACACCGGGAGCAGTCTGCAACATTAGTCACCATTTCCACCAAAAAATGAATTATTTCCTAAAAACATTATCCAATGACACCAGAAATGTAAATTATGTAGAAAATGAACTTCGTATTTCTCACAGAGCTTGTTAGGCAGGCTGGCCAGCCAGGGTGTGGCTGTGCCTCATCTTCCCAGGTAACCTGGGTACAGCACAGCACAAGCCCTGGCTGCAGGGTCCAGGCAGAGCTGGAAGTGCACCTTTCCCTGGACACACACTTCTACCTTCTGCACCCCTTCCCCTCACCTTTCCATTCTGTTACCACCCAGTGTTAAAAAGCAGGAGTCATTTTTCCTTCACAGAAGAAATTATTTTATTCCATCTGAGAAAAGTAAAGGATACAGATATACATTCTTTGCCAGGCAAAAGTGATTTTCCCACAGGACTCTGAGCCCAGCCTGGTGAAGTTAAAGGCCACAGATGTTAGAGACGTCTGGGGCCCCCAGCAACACAGTGAAGACAGACATTTTGCTGGAAAAGCATTTACACATGAAAATGTTTCCTGTACCACAGTTCACAAGCACATTTTATCCCAAAGATCATCCTGGTCTGGAAGAAACATTTCATTGTGAAGATAATTTAAACTTGCTAACTTGAACCCTAGGCCAGTTGTTTTTCATACAAACTGAGAGGAGAAACTGGAAACCCATCTCATGTCCTCTTGTGCCACCCACCCCTCCTCTTCCACGGTGAGATCTTTTACATTTACCTCTGGGCCTTGGGCGCAAACACCAGACCAGTGCCTCAAGTGCAGCATTTCTGTGGCATTTTCCAGACCTCAGGCGCAGGCGAAGCTGCCAGCCCCTCTGCCCTTTCCCTGCCTCACCCTGCCCCATACACAGAGGAGGGGATGGTCAGCCCCAGCCCCTTTACTGTGATCTGGATGACTTAAAGGCATGGGCCTCAGCCTAGCGTTATTTCAAAGTGGGGCCTGTTGAGAGGAAGAGAGGCTGCTGAGGGCAGTGCCCTGAAGAGGATGCTCGGACCCTCCTGCCTGTCTCCCTCACTTCGGAGCCACGAGGCGATGTCTGCTCCACTGCCACTCCCTGCCATCATGTGCTGCTTGCACGCAGATCCAAAAACAGACAACTGATCAACAGGTCAACTGATTGTGGCCTCGGAGGCCACTAGCTAAAGTCAACCTTTTCTCCTTCTAAGCTGTTGTCTCACATTATATCCAGCTGTAGTCATGCAAAGCAGACAGATCCTCGCTCGCCTCCATGAAGTCTGGTCTGCACCATATTCAGAGGTTTCCCCTCAGGCAGCAGGGGCGAACCTTTTAGTGACCGAGTGCCCAAACTGCAACCCAAAACCCACTTCTTTATTGCAAAGTGCCACCACTACAATTAAACCTGAATACTGACATTTTAGTTTAGGAAAAAACGACTCATACATTAAAACTTTTGTCTTAAATGAAAAATACACGCGCCATAGGTTTGCCAGCACTGCCCCAGGGGCATCGCACACAAAAGAAAGGGCAGCCCCATGTGTGGAAGCGGCAGGAATTGCGCTGCATTTCCGGGTGTGCACAGAGCTGCTGCCCTAGGTGGTGCCGGCGGGGCAACTACTCAGCCTCAGAAGCGGAACCTGGGCAACAGGTGCGCATCCTTCTCGCCACACACCAGGCAGCAAGCGCCCCTCTTCATGGGAAACAACACCTGCTGTGCATCAGACCACACGGACAGGGAAGGGAGAGACGGAACTGTTTACCCGGCTGAGAAGCACCATGGACTCGGGGCCCCTTCGATTCTCAAAGTGACACTGCTTTCGTAGAGCTAACCAACGGGCCAAAGAGGAAGTCTCCTTGAAATCTGTCCCTCTCCAAATCGGGTGACAAACAATAGTACTCCACAGCGTCTTCACTGAGGATACAACATTTCTCAGAGCCAGTCCGGGACGCTCCAGAACAAGTGGGGACACTAACAGGCAGGTGGCCCGACCCCACCTGACCCAAGGGACACCCACACGGCAGCTCCTTGGCCAAGGCCACTCCTCTCCCTCTGCACAGCCAGCTAGGGGCCCACGCGGGGCTACGGGGAAGGCCACATCCACTCTGCTGAGTGTCTTTAAGAAGCTGCGTGGGCCACGTCGTTGTCCCTCTCACTGCACCTCCTGCACAGAGGAGGCCGAGGGCAGTGGTGGTTTGGATCCCACAGCCTTGGACTCAGTGAGTGCATCCCTCAGGGTTAGTGCAATTGAGAGCAGCAGGACTTGCAGACGTGTCCACGCATCCCAGAAAACAAAACGCAGCACCTGAGGATGCAGCCAGAGACAGCTGGTGGACATCAGCTAAATGTCAACCCCTGAACTGCAGCCTAGTTCCCTGCCGGGGTGGTCTGGCTGAACGGGCTGTCTGCGGAGGTGAGAGCCGCCACCGGCATCGCTAAGCCGGGGGCTTGCCCGGGGGCCACACTTGATGCTATCGAGCCGTTGGGGACAGCAGTTGTGTTCAAGCTAACAGGGGTCTCCCCAGCAGCCTGTATTTTAAAGTAGACCAAATAAAACACTGGCAGCACAATCCCAATTAGGAGCATGATGAAGACAGCATTCCACCACTGGATCCCACAGTCCGCACCGTCTGTGGATGCCTTCGGAGGGCCCGGGAGCAGCGGCTGGTCCGGAGCGTCTACACAGCAGCTCTCGCTGAGGAAGATTTCAGACTGCACCGCGCGCTCGATGTTCTGGTCAATGCCCTTAAAAAAATCCGTCAGCTGGCTGGTCTGGGTGTCCGCACCTGCGGCCACACTGTCTGCACCAGGAGGTTCCACCAAGGTCACTCTGGTCTCTGAGGATGCTTCTGGGAGCGGCTTCAGTTCTTTGTGGGTTTCTGTGAGCAGCCCATGGTTTTTTACGGGAATTTTAATAGATTTCAAAGCGTACAAGTCTTGTTCTCGGATGAAGTTGTTGACTTTCTTGATATCTGCAACCTAGGGAAGCCATGGAGACACAGGTAATAATTTAAGTGAAGCTTCTTAAAACTATATACAGTAATACCGAACACAGAGTTCGCCTATGCTGTGACTTCGTGTGTTCATTTGGCTTTTACTTGGCCCGAGTGGACAGCTTAGTGATCAAATGTGCCTGCAGATTTACAAATCTGAACATTTCAGGTCAGTTTTGGAAACTGTTTCAAGTGTGACTGCAACAAAATGCTTTTAGGTGAAACTCAATGGAGACAGAGAATGAACTCAGTAGTAGCCCTGTTTCTTTTACCTTTGAGGCAACAGTGCTCCCATCTGCCTGACTTCTTCTCACACCAGAACCCAACTACACGGCTGCCACAGGAAACCCCAGCCTCCCCCAGGTCCGAGGACGTCAGAAGCCAGTCTACCTGTGACACCCTTTAGCAGATGTGTCCTCATCCAGTAGGTACCATGTTTTCTTTCCCGAAAGCGCTACAGAGTGTATAAACTTTGACCTAAGGTTAATTCACCTTGAAGAAATGATATTTCTTATCATTAGGCTCATCAATCAAGTTGGAGGTTATGGTCACATTTTTCATGGTAACTTCAGGCAAAAAGAACTCTGTAACAGTTTATCTTGTAAGATCAAATTCACGACAGACTCCTTTCTTAAAGATTTATGAAGGGGGTTGAAGTCCACTTAAACTAGAATATAAATACAGCCCACAGACCTTTAGACCGAGCTTCACTCATGTCTGCTATTGTAATTATTTAGCAGCTGCTTTCATTATTTCATCACTGAATTGAGATAGGGACATTTTTCATTGTTTTCTGAAGCTAACAAACAGGAGATCCTTGAGATGTTTGGCCTTTGACTCAAACTAAAAATAAATGTATTTACCTCAAGTAGGAAAACTGATCAGGTACAGGAGGAATTATAATATACTTGGTAGGTTTATTAGACATCACCATTCCAACAGGCCTATCCATATATGTAGGATTTGTTTTTCAGTCCATGTTCTATAAATCATAGGTTATACCTATAGAAGTTGATTTTTAAGAGTCAATCACAAAAGTAAGTATAATTTAAAGGTGCTGTGTGTCCCTAGAAACCAGCCTGGACTTCCTTGGGAAAGACCCAAATACCCCACACAATCTTTTTTTAGCATTTGGATCTTGTTAGATAGGTGACAAATGCTTCATATGTTGTTGTTCTTGTTTTGTTTTTTTTTTTTTAATACTAAGCTTATGTAGCCTTAGGAAGGCTATAGAAATTTATTGCACAGTGTTAGCAAAATGAAATAATTTCACTCTAGGAGAAAATGAGGCAATTCTATAAATACTTTCCTACTTACTTTGCCATTGTTAATCACTCTGCATGCTAAAAACATAATTAAAGAGAAAAACAGGGTTATATAGATACACAGCACAGAAACTATATCATGCAGTTCTAAAAGAGAGAAGGTAAATTTTTACCAATCAAATCACCACAGCTCAAAAAAGTCAGAAAAATTAAAAGCAGCAAGAAAAGCAAGCATGCCAAAGAAATCTTGGATAAATTCTGCCTGGCATCTCCAACCCTCTAAGGTCTTAAATAAAATGTGCTCAAAGGAAAAAATAATTTAAAAAAAAAGGTTTCAGAATTCCAATGTTTTCTGCTCTGCAGAGGAAAATGCACCATTATGAGAGCTTCCTGATTAATCAATCCCTTTTCCTCTGTCTCTCTCCCTCTCTCCCTCTCTCCCTCTCTCTCACCTCTGGCTAAACAGAGGCGCCTTCCGCTGTTGCAACAGGGTCATCTAAGGGGTCAGGAAGGGCAACAAGGCCTCCACCAGCTCTTCTGTGTTGCTACACGCAGGGGACAGAGCACCCCGGGGCGCCTTACTTTGCAGCCATACTGCAGAGCCAGCTTGTTGAGGTTGTCTTCCCGGGCCAGCTCGCGCTGCAGCAGCACCACGTCTCCTGCCCTGGGCCGGTGAGCCTGGTGGGCGCCGTTCTGGAGCTCTCTGCCCCGGGGGCGTAGCACCACGTCCTGCTGCCGGGTCTCTTCCTCAGAGGAGTCCTCCGAGTCCCCACTGCCACTTTTGAACATGTAAACGTGACTGGTCCGAGTCCTACAGACAACGGCTGGGCCCTGGAAGGACTTGGTTAGCACCTCCTTCTGCCTCATCTTCTTCACTGCAAACCAAACCCCAGTGTTAATCCCCACACAAGATGTATTTATCCGCAATTATTCCTTTCCCCAATTACTGCAAACACCATGTGTACAAAACAACAACGTCCATATGCTGCTAAGTTGGGAGTAGATAGGCAGGATAAAAACCTTTTAAAATTGTATACGTTTTAGCAGAAAACAAAAGATCCCTCTCTGTTCTCCCCTTACCGCTCATCCATAGGTTGCGATCCTAGCAATGAGAGGTAAGGACTGTTCTGCTTCCTTACATGTGTAAAATTCAGAACCTTTGTACAAAAAACTCACTCGCTATTTTATGCATGCCATGGTCTCTTCACTAGACTGTCGATACTAAGGACGCATGCTTGGAAGAACCGAGACCATCGTGCTCTTATTTTGATACTGGTTGATGTCTTTCATATTCGAGGCAAGGTAGGGAGGACAAGTGCCTGTAGACCTGAGAAAGTCGCTCCTTTTTTCGGAGGTCACTGTGCACTCATCACACCCCCATGCCTATTTCCACCTATTGCCAAAGCCACAAGGCATCCCTTCCCCTCTCCAAGTGGCTCGAATGAGATTCTAGAAATGAAACTTGAGGATTAACAATATCAAAAAGAGTTGGCCAGGAGCCCGATCGAGCCGCAGGGGCGCAGTCCGGGCCGGGTCCTAGGGGAGCCCGGCGG